AATTGAGATTAATTGTGCCGAGTCGTATCGACTCTCTCAGAATCGTACAAATATACGGTTTCGGAATTGAAAGACTTTCCAAAATCAGGTGTAGTTGCAGTGGATCTAGCACATTTAAATGAACACTTCTGTTTCATGACTGCATGTCGGAGAGCGCTTTAGTGAGAGAAATGGTCATCAAACACTTCAGAAGCCTTTCTATGCACAAACGATTTCAATTACACTATCTCGCCATTTCACGGACCTTTCATAGATTTACCTCACTTTACTCATGGAACACACATCTTTTTTTGTTTGAACAATATCTGATAATACTATGCGAAAAAGGAAATTAAAAAATCTGGATAACTACCACAATACCACGATAAATTACCGCCGAACACAACTAAAATTATCTATAATATAGGTTAGGTTGGATGTCTTTTTTCACTGCTGAAGTCTTGTTTACATAATGGTATTACCGTATTTCCGCGAATAGATTAAAAAAAAAACTTCGGCTTAAATGGGGCGGGGGGGGAGTACTCGTTGGGAAGAGGTTAATCAAGGAGGGGGGCACTGGTGAAGGGGGGTCAACGTGGCAATAGGACAAATACCATTAGAACAGATAACACACATAAAGGAACTCTGCAAGCACATGGGGATAGAAATAAGTCGAATGGAGGAGAAACTATTTTCCTAAACCAATTCCACTGTAGCTGAAGCTCAAAAGGTATTAAAATAAAGTGGCAATAGAAACAGGTTTTCTTTGTATCCTTACTATTTAAGAATGTGAGGGAGGAGGGGACGGGACTTTTTTGGGGAAACCGAGCGACATATTCATACCGTATTTCTGCAAGCTACTGAACCAAGTACAGAGGAGTAGGGCTGCAGATTTTCAAGCTAGGAGGAGGGGGACGCTACAAAATCAGACTGCTACCAAGAAGCATGCCAAGACAAAGTAAAGACAGAGTGATTGTTAAAATAGCAAGCCACTTGAAAGATACAACCGCTTTGATTTTCGTCTTGGACTTTTTCGCTTTGTATGCAACAGGAAAAGATATAGCGAGGTACCTTTCCAACATTTGTAACGTCATGGTGGACAGAGAATTCACAATGAAGAAAGTATGGAGACACATAAGGTAGTCCACGCTAACAATAATAATAAATAATAATAATAATAATAATAATAATAATAATAACGAATATTTATACAGGATAGCCCTTCAGTGCAGGAGCACTGTTATCAATGGGGTCTGTCATCACTGTCATCACTGTTACCATAAAATCGCTTAAGGACTACGTCGTAGATGGAAAGAGGAATGTTGACGACGCTGCTTAGAAAATCGACTACAGCAAGATCGGGGACGAGAGCGTGAGAAATTGTTCGAAGAGCTTTGTGGCGAAGAAAAAAAGAAGAAGAACGAAATATTTCCAACCATTGCTGCAATTAAAAGGCTGGTCGAGAGAAAAATCTGAACCGCACCCTCCATTTCTGAAACAATAATATGATCGCTATTTTCCTGTGGAACTGGTACGTATGGAAAACAAACTTTTTGATGCTGTTGTGAAAAACGATCATAGGAAGTGCATGAATTAATAAGATCTTTCAAGGAGTCTTAAACGTTAAATGAAGATTAAGAATAAAGTCTGCGGCATGATATAAAAGAACGTAAAAATTGCAATTTATAATCAAGGTGAAAGGTAGTATAGGAATTAAATAAGCTTTGAATGGAATACTTTTACTTTCCAGGCGTTCATTTACTACCAAAAAAAAAGAAAAAAGATTCATCACATAAGAGGCAAGAGTGAAATCTCGTCATCACCGTCATTAGGCAAATAAAAGAACAACAATAAAAGAGATCTTTTCAAAAAGGAATATGAAGTTTCTTTCGTTGATGGTGACATTAATTAAGATATTCTAATCAAACGATTATTGCTATTGCTGAAAAGATTTTAATGTCTTTGTTCTGGGATTTCAGGTCAGGAACTTTGAGCAAATAATTTCCAATAAATGCCGGAAATCGAGAAAGACACATCGTAGTTACGACTTGGCTGATTGCAAAAATGTTTGTCTCTCAATTCGTTAATTTTCTCAATTAGTTGATTTGACATTCTGTGAAACAATTGTTGTACTTTTCAACCCTATTGCTGAATAGATTTTTAATATGTCTTTGTTCTGGGATTTCAGGTCATAAACTTTGAGCTAAAAAGTCTTCAATAAACACCGGAAATCGGGAAAGACCCATTCCAGTTGCGTGTTGGCTAATTTAGACGGTTTTTTCTTTTTTTCTGCTGCCTTCAAATAGGAGCTTTAGCATGTGAGAGAAACGTATGACAGATGGATTTTCTGTTGGTACCTCTACATATGGATGTGACGAGTTAATGATCATCGGAGTCGACCTGTTTCCAGGCTCTCAAACCCAACTCAAGATTTCCCTAGTGAAAATTGGGTGCCTTGGTTACTAAAGTCCGGCTATGTCTGGCCCCTGTTTTTAGAAGGGTGGATGACGCCGTCTACTGAAGAAATCTCTCTCGGTGGATAGCACTGAACGTTTGTTGGGGAGTAATTGCTCCAGACCCCCTGTAAATATGATAACATGCATTTTCGATATGAAAAGAAAACAGATATCTCAATATTTTAGCAGCTATTACTGAGCTATTTCCAAACCAGGTAAAAAAAAAAAAGGGAAAGGACTCTAAAAATATTTTTAAACAATACGGCCTATGTCAAATCTCAAGGATTTTTTTTTTAACTCTTGCGCATTTTTTTTTTTGTTTTTTCGATTCTTCACGAGGGCGATTTTATAATAGCGAGTAATTTGTAATGAGGAGTTGGCATAAAAGGGGATTAGTATTAGAAAAGATGGGAGCCTCTTTTGTTGGCAGAAATTTCTTCTTGGGGGAGCATTTTTAGGGCGAGGATTTTATCATGTCAGTGTTTCGTTATGACAGAAATATCTCGTTCAAGTCAGAGTTCGCTGTACTGGGAATTCAGTCCAGTTCAACGCGGGAAATATCGTCCGCACTGCGGCTCACTGTAGATCTATAAAGAGGATTTCGCCACACGGATAGCTTTTTATGTAACGGGAAGTTCGTCACAGAGAGTGCTCTTTCCAACAGTTGTTGATAATGTCAGATGTGTTTGCTAATTAGGCACGGCCAGGATCGATCATTTCGCTATGGACTTGTCATAGTGGAAAGATTATTAGCAACTATCTGTCAATGACTTAAAGAACTGTCAAAATGAACATAACCCCGGTAACTGCGTGAGCAAAACACTAAATACACATCGTGTTTCTACACCTGTTTAATAAAAACAGGAACTTTAAATATGTGAAGATCAAATTGTTTCTGAATCATGACGAAAATATTACTTTTTAGGGGACGCAAACTGGTAATTCGCCTGAAAATCGCTTTTAGATTGATCAATGATAATTAGAGAGCTGCTTTATTTTTTATAAGAGTTATATGTATTGAGACTTACTATAGTCAAAAAATGCATAAGTTTTTATGTACAATTGCTTTCATGCAAAACGTGTAAACAGCGTAGTCATTAGAACAGCTTGCTCTGTAGGCACAATACATCAAACCCCTCGACTTGAAATGAAAATTACATCATAGAAGCGTGCCATTCTGGTGATTTTCAGACCGGCGATTTCGAGATTTCACAAATTACCTCTAACATCTGCCTTTTAACAACCTAGTGTTGTTTTCAATGCCTCACGATAATTCCGATGGCGATAAAAGTAAATACAAGGATTCATGGCAGAATTTGCGAATCCGAGTGCGAGCAGCCAAAAGTCCAACGAAGAGAACGAGGTGGAATCCAAACTGGAATTCTTCAGCTTTGCTACAACTGAAGGAGTCCAACAAAAAGCGAACAAGAGGACGACAAAACAAACGGTTTTCGCAACTTGATTGTTCCTCTGGTGAAGTACACAAATTTGGCCACCATTTTGACTTAGGTTTATGTCTGATACACGCGAAGAACTCTTATACGCTTTGACTATGGCGGCAATTCCACTGCCGATTATCATGACCACACACAATTTATGAATAGAAGATTCTACATAGTGACACGCCGCGTGCGTAATCAAGTGCCCGAAAAAATGCCAAACCCCAATTACAACGGAAACTAACCACACTACAACAATCATCACTTTTAGTTTCCTAAAATTCATAAATAACTTGTGTTTCAAGGGGTAGCAAATAGCGAACGAACGATCAAAACTCAGACAAGTTAGAGCTATTAGCGAGGTATTGATGAACGTGTAAAAAATTGCCGCACCGATGCGTGCGCTGAGCGAAGCGAGATGAAAACTGCATAATGAGCTTTGGATTATGGCAAAGTAAAACAGAGGAATTCCTGTGGATGACGCGATAAAATCAGCTACAGCGAGGTTTGCAATCTGAAGACCGTAGATATTTCTTAAGCGTGGTGTCCGGCAAATTACCAGAATTACAAGAAAATTATCAATCGATCCGAATACGGACACAGCCCCATAGAACACACAGCCGAAAATTTTCTCGGCAAATCCAAGTTCAGCACATGACGCTTTATCTGAAGGAACTAAATTGTCGTTTGTTGAAGTGTTTAGAAGAGGTGTTAAGTTTCTCATGGTTGTTCCTTACAAGTTCGGAGATGTTTGCAGTTGTTTCACAGTTGAAGTGAGAGCACTTTTCACCACAATTCCGTATCTAAATCCCGCCAACCGGACAATACTGTTCACATGCACTCAAAACTGAGAGCTTTGCAGTTCACCTAACCAGTGCTACAGGTAAACTGCAGCTTTTCAATGTACTTCCAGCTACGGGTGATTATATAGCAGAAAAAACTTAAACTTCTTCAAGCAGCAGGGGACATGAAATACACCTAACAGCTGTTCCGTCCAAAACTCAGCTATTTTCAGTTTACGAGATGCTCCATAGTTCAGGTTTTGTTACTAGGAGATGAATTAAAAAGATTTTGTAACTTCGGTTTCTTGAGAACAGCTTACAGGTCCTTTAAATTACTTGTGTGGAGAAAAAGCGTCACTTAATGACATTTTGATTCCACTTGGAATCGATGAAATGGAGAAAGATGCCCCGACCTGTTTGAATTCAATGACACCAGTTTCATATCATTTGCAT